TTCAGTTTCAGTAATGCATTTAATGAGTCTGTTACGATAATGCACTTCATCGTTCTACTCTTTTCGAAGAAGATTAGGGCTTCCAAAATAGCTGTAGCTTCACCTGTTAGTATACTGCAGTTGGTTGGTATCGATATGCTATAAGAATTTTCTTTACAGTAGTAGGCAGCAGCGTGACCATTGGGAGTTTTAGAGGCATCGGTAAAGATTTGCAAATAATTAGGATAGTGGTCTAGAATTTCCATAAATAGAGATTTAATTACTGTGGAATTTGTAGTAGATTTGGGATACTTGGTAAGTGTTACATCAATAGTTAATGGGTGGCTTGTCCATGGGGGATAGTTTGCGTTTATATGTAGTGTTGCATTGAAATGATTCCTATCAAAAGTTGTAAGGTTTATTCTTTCTATGAGGGGTGTAGAATTTTTAGTCTTATTGTTAGGAGGAAGGCCAGGGTTGCAGATATGGAAAAATACAGGATGCTGTTTCTGGGATGATATCTTTGCAATGTAGTTCAAGGATAGTTGCTGTCGTCTTATATGTAAGGGAGGTTCTCCAGTTAGAACTTGCATGCTACTAACTGGACTAGTTTTAAAAGCTCCCAGTGCTAATCTCAAAGCTGTAGTTTGAATACTGTTTAGTTTTTTTAGAGTGGTTTTACATGCAGCATCGTAACATATACAACCATAGTCGATTTTAGTTCTAATGAGCGATTTGTAAAGCCTAATTAATATTTTATGATCAGCACCCCAAATTCTGTTGGATAATATTTTGAGTATATTTAATCTTTTTTGGCAGGAAAGCTGTAGTTTATTTATGTGTGAATTCCAATTTAAAGTTCTCTCAAAAGTTAGACCTAGAAAGTTTATTTCTTTTGACTGTTCTAAAGGTAAATTATTTAATGTAAGACTAGTTGTGAAGTGGGTTTTATTTTTATTAAAAATAATATATCGTGTTTTTTCAGTAGAAAAAACAAATCCCGTTTTAATCGTCCAATTACAAAGCCGATTTAGGAAACTCTGTATAATATTAGTTGCTGTCATTATATTATTCGATTTAGTATAAATAACAATGTCATCTGCGTAAAGACTAGCTTTAATGGGCGCTTTAATTACATCAACAATACTATTAAAAGCGATTAAGAATAAAGTTGGACTAAGAATCGAACCTTGAGGAATTCCATTATCTAGTATTTTAGATGAGCTTGTAACACCATTTATTCTAACTTGAATCGAGCGATTTTTTAAAAATTTTTTTATAAATGCAAGTATGTTACCTTGAATGCCAGTATCTTTCAATGTTTGTAGAATACAGTGTCTCCATGCTCTATCGTATGCTTGGGTTATATCGAAAAATATTGCTATTAGTTTTTGGTTATTTACAAAAGCTTCATTAATTGAAGTCTGTAATGCAACGTGATTATCTAATGTGGACCTGCCTCTTCGAAAACCACTTTGGAAGGGAGTAAGAAAGTTAATATTTTCTAAGTACCATATAAGACGGAGGTTTAAATTTTTTTCTAATATCTTACACATGCAACATGTAAGAGAGATTGGTCGGTAAGAGGTAGGATTGTCTTTTGGTTTGTTAGGCTTAACAATGGGAATGATTATTGCTTGAGACCAAAGATCTGGGAATTCATGCTTTAAGAAGCAGGTATTAAATAAATCTAACAGAATTAATTTGGCTCCGAATGGTAAGTTTTTTATGAAGACTGGTAGAATATCATCTGGTCCTGCAGATGTGTTTTTTATATTTGAGAGAGAAAACTCTAACTCTTGAAGAGTTATAGGAGCATTTAAGGGGTGTCAGAGTTGATAATGGATATTGTAGAAATTTCTATGTTTTTCTTGTATGTTAGGGATTCGTAAGAAATGTTTTTGTCGCTAGAATTATGTTGATAGACATCAGCTAAAGCTTCTGCGATTTTATTTTTGCAAGTGATTAATTCATTATTGTGTGTTAAGGTGTTTATATGTCTATAAGAATTGGAGCCTTTAAGTTTACGAATTTTAGTCCAGACAACCTCGGAGGGTGTAGACGAATTGATAGATGATACGTACTCTCTCCAGGTTTCTCTTTTGCTTTTCTTTATGAGATATCTTGCTTTGGCTCTCAGTTTTTTGAAATTAAGTAAATTTTCATTTGTATTGTGTTTTTTAAATACATTAAAAGCATGATTGCTAGAAGATAGAGCATATGCTACTTCATTGTTCCACCAAGGTACTGGAGGTCTTTTGCAAAGCTTTGTTTTACCTATATTATTTAAAGCTGCTTCTATAATTATATTGTTTAAGAAGATAATATTAGAGTTTATATCATCACTTGGATGATAGTTTTCAATTTTCTTTTCAATGTCATCTTGATAAGACGACCAGTTTGCAGTCTTTAATTTCCAGGATTGATAGATTGGAAAATTAGGAGATTGAATATGATTTAATGATATGCAGATAGGAAAGTGGTCACTGTCATATAAAGATTTTAAAGTATTCCATGTGAGAAACGTTGATAAGGATTGACTACATAATGATAAATCAATGGCAGAAAAAGAGCCGTTATAGGAGTTAAACCTGGTAGGTTCTGGTAGTAATAGTAGATCAGAAGAGTCAATGAGATGTTTCATTAGATTACCATATTTGTCTGTTTTAGAGCTTCCCCATGCAGAATGATGACAATTCATATCCCCTAAAATTATTTTTGGGTGTGGAATTTGATCAAGAAGGTTATTTAGTTCTTGTAGGTCTAGTTCGCTAGGATGTGGTAAATAAATGTTGCATATATTAATATGTTTTTGGTACGTTATACTCACTGTTACAGCTTCGAAATTAGTTCTTAATACAATTGGTTTAGCTTCTAGGTCTGTACTTACAAAGATAGCTACTCCGCCACTGGCGTGTTGTGCTACTCTGTTTTTTGGAAAATACTGATAATTACGAAGATTTATATTAACTTGTTTAAAATGAGTTTCTTGAAGACATAGGATCTTTGGGCATAATTCGTTTATTAAAAGTTTTAATGGTTCTAGATGGGTATAAAACCCATTAAGATTCCACTGTAGAATAAAGGAATTGGACATGTTAGAATTCTGCTTGAGATAATTGTTCATCTGTCTCTTCTGTGGAAGAGATATTATTGGGGTTTATTTTCTTTTTTAATCGAGTTATATTATTTTTTAATTTTGAATTGTGGGTATAAGCGTGAACAAAATTAAGGATCTCAATTAGCTCGGCATTTTCATTAGAGTAATCTTTAGAAATTATTTCAGGGTGTTTGGCATATATTGTGTTTTCTAGGAAGTCACATATTTCATTATAATTTAAGATAAAAGGTGGTGATCTGTTTTCTATTTGGTCTTTTATTGACTCTAGTGAAAGTAAAAGTTCTTCCCGGGAATTTCTGGATGACTTTTTTGACTTTTTTTTGGTTTGCTTACTACAGGAGGAGTAAATATCTGTGAATCGGTCTGTGGGGTATTTTCGTTAATGTCTGGAGAAGATGAGATGAACCTTTTTAGTTGATTAGGGACATTTGTAGTAATTGGATTTGGTGTTATTTCTACTGGAGTAGGATTTCTGATGTTGTTTGAGGTTGTAGGTGTTGAAGTATTTAAGGAAGATATTTCACTTCTATTACTTATGGATCCTGTCTGGTTATTGTCAGTTTCCATAATTTGTTCTGTTTGGTTATTAGAGGATTTTGTTAGAATTGATGTGTCTTGAAAAGTTTCTGGGTGTGCACTAGCAGTGGATGAATTAGCTTTGTCAAAACTTTGTAGTTCTGTTTGGTTATTAGATGTATTTACTGTAGGTAATATATTTTGAGAGGTTTGTGAGTGTATATTAGAAGTAGTGGGGTTTTCTTGGTTAGAGCATTCAGCTTCCTGATGGCCAATAGTCTTGCATTTTGTACAGTTAAATCCTTCTATAGAAAGGTATAAACGATAATTGGTATTATCATAAGAGATAATGAAAGAATCAGGAATAGATATATTGTCTAAAGGTGTAATAAAGATTTGCCTTCTAAAACTCAATACATGGTTGTATTCGCTTTCAGGCATACCTACTCGTAGGAAAGTCATTTTTGAGACAGGGTTTATACCCATCTGATGTAGTTCTTGTTCAATTAACGTGTTTGGAACAGTAGGGCAAGCATTTGATATGACTAGTCTTTGAGCTGGAGAGATAAGTCTTCTTATTTCTATTTGAGTTTCTTTTATAATAACATATTTGTAGGAATGTAGTAGTGAATCAACTGCATTTTTAGATGAAAGATATATACAAATTCTGTTATTGGCAATTCTGGAAGCGAAGGATACGTTACGTGGACCAACTAATGAACCAACGGCTATGATATAGTCATGAACTTTAGTTCCTTCAATACTGGAGAGTACTATAGCTTGTTCTTTTGTTGGGTCTTTAAATGTGTTGACAACACTGGAATATGAGACATGAGATGAAGTGTGAGTAGTATTCTTAGTTTTATTTGAAGTCATGGTTAATTAATTTTAAGTCCGGACCTGTCACCGGTTCGGAAACCGGTGTGGATTTTGACCCAAAACTGGATTTGTTTCTATTTCTTCGGAACGTTATAGGTTATATTAATATTGATATAGATACTATAAAGTGATTTTCTGGTACTCACGTAAACGTTTTCTCGGCCGACTTGAAGACAGCACTATAACTATGTGTATAAAGCAACAAAAACAATTTCTAAACTTGGTTTTTTCATTTAAAAACCTAAATATTTCAGGACGGCTTGCAAGGTGATATATTTTATCACTGTCAGGACCGTACTCCTGTTGTATTATTGTTTAGTTAATATATAGCTATATACCTAACTTATGCCTCGCAGTTTATATATTATGCATATAATGGTCTACAATATACAATGTGCCGAAAATGATATTAAAATTTTTGTTTTAACTAGGGATAAACTCACTAATTCCTAAATTAAAATATACATATATTTTAAAGATTTTTTACAGAATTATTTTTTTACAGAAATACTCCAACGGCGGTGACAGTACTAATGGGTGTATATAATCCGGCAAGTCTCGTCAATGTGCAAAGTAGTACAGTCGCAAGAATTGTTGTTCATCCACAATTCGTAGCTGCTACCTTAATTAATGATATAGCAGTATTGCAGTTAACGCAGCCAATTGTATTAGGCATATATGCTAATATTAACACTGCTTGCTTACCGGCAGCTGGAACGTCTTATGTAGGACAATCGTAAGTTTAGTGCTGATTTATAAGTAGAGACTGGATTTCTCAGCCTAATGTTTATGGTAAATAATGAAAGTAGGAATATTTTCTTTCTAAATATAAATAAAATATATAAATATGAATGAATATAAGTGAAATATATTATTTGACACCACTTTTTTATGTTATATATATATATATATATATATATATATATATATACAGGGTGGTCCGTAAGTAATTGTACAAAAAGAAACCGTAGATTCTACACTTTAAAATATTACGATTTAAGTCAAGTCGCTTTAATAAAATGTTGATATTAAGAAAGATACAGGGTGTTAAAGTGGAAATTTAAAATTTTATTTTTCGCTATAACTTTTACGTTTGTCAACATTTATGTATAAAATTTACAACTGGGTACTATTAAATATTAGAAATTATAATTTGATGCAAACTTTGATGTAGCTGATAGAGGGCACCACATATGCCATATATGTGGCATGTATTTGCACGTAACTTTTTTGCTCTTTAAGCTACCGGTATTTTTAATAAAAAATATTAAAGATACGTTATTTCAACAAAAAAAAGGTATACTTGCTAATATCTTCAAAACTCAACAGTTTTCGAGATAATGGCATTTTAGGAATTAACTATATAATTCTGATTTATCGCAATTACTCCAGTCAACGAAAGAAAATTAAAGAAAAACATCACTACTTCTGAATTTTGGTATAAAATACCTTTAATAAAGTTAATATTTAATGAATTATTAAATAAAATAAATATATCAGTAGAATAAAATAATATGATTTGATAAATAACAGAATAATTGGATTTTCCATCAAACATTTTACGTTTTGTTTTAAATTAAAGTCATAATCAAAACATTTTATTTACAAACCAAATTAAGAAATAGTAAAAGTAAATAAAATTAAACTTTTTGTCAAAGTAAATGTTCAATATGTCCACCATTTTCTTTAATTCATTTGTCAATACATTCGATAATATATCGTCTCATATTAAATAGAGTCATTGGTTCTAAAGAAATTGCTGCAGTATTGATTATAAGTGTTATAAGTATAATAATAAGTAATTTTTTGAAATGTTTATGAATTAAATAATTATATTAATATCTCACCGCAAAAATATGACTACTACAAACAATCTAATGTTCAGGAAAGTTGTATTTAAATACTGTCTCACTCCGCTTTCACTGTAATGTAATGGTTTACCATCTTGTAGAAACCACATATTTTGCCCTTAAATTTGATGACAATTCTTCCAATATATTAATAAAACCATTTTATAAAAATTGTAAATAAATCTCGTGATTCAAATTGCAAGGTAATTCGCATATTCGTAAAAAATAATTATCAATAGTTCCAAACCATAGGACATGCATTTTACATATGAATTTTGAATGATGTTTTACGGATATGCGAATTACCTTGCAATTTGAATAACGAGATTTATTTACATTTTTTATAAAATGGTTTTATTGATATATTGGAAGAATTGTCATCAAACGTAAGGCGAAATATGTGGTTTCTACAAGATGGTAAACCATTACATTACAGAGAAAGCGGAGTGAGACAGTATTTAAATACACTTTGCTGAACGTTGGATTGTTCGTTGTAGTCATATTCTTGTGGTGAGATAATAATATAATTATTTAATTCATAAAAATTTCAAAAAATTACTTATTATCATACTTAAAACAACTATAATAAATACTGCAGCAGTTTGTTTAGAACCAATGATGCTATTTAATATGAGACGATATTTTATGGAATGTATTGACAAATGAATTAAAGAAAATGGTGGACATATCGAACACTTACTTTGACAAAAAGTTTAATGTTATTTAGTTTAACTATTTCTTAATTTGGTTTGTAAATAAAATGTTTTGATTATGACTTTAATTTAATACAAAACGTAAAATGTTTGATGTAAAATCCAATTATTCTGTTATATTATCAGATCCTATTATTAATTATCCTACTGATATATTTATTTTATTTAATATTTCGTTAATTATTGACTTTATTGAAGGTATTTTATAACAAAATTCGGAAGTATTGATGTTTTTATCTATTTTTCTTTCATTGCCTGGAGTAATTGCGTTAAATCAGAATTATGCAGTTAATTTGTAAAATGCGATTATCTCGAAAACTGTTGAGTTTTGAAGTTATTTATATAAATCTGTTTTGGATGGGTTGGAGTCAATAAAAGGGGCTATTTGTTGACTATTTTTTACTCGAGCTTTCAATTGTGATTACAATTATTATCAAGAGCTTCTAAAAAATACAAAATTTAATAATAAAATATAAAATTGATAATAAAAAAGCAAAAGAACTCAAAATTTATAATTCTATTGCACCACGGTTTTATGCTCTACCTAAAAAACATAAACCAACTTTATCTATGAGACCAATTGTTTCATCTCTATGCCCTCCAAATGGACCAATACCACAGCTCCTCACTGACATCTTAACCAATGCTTATAATTTAAACAACAATTTTTACATTAAAGATTCATTTGATTTTAGTTCTTTCATTAATATTTTCCAATTACCACAAAATTATGTTTTAGTTAGTTTTGATGTAACATCTCTTTTTACTAATTTACCTTTAAATTTAATCATAAGTAGTGTTGAAAAACATTGGAATGAGATTTCGCAACATACTAATATTGACTTATTACATTTTAAAACACTCATCAACTTTGTTTTTGATTCTAATATTTTTATATTTATTGGTGTTTTTTATAAACAAATTTTTGGTAGCCCTATGGGATCTAGTCTTTTATCCATTCTAAGTAGCTATGTCATGGATGATGTTATTAGTGATTGTATAAATAATTGCACTTTTTTCATTCAATTTATCAAAAGATATGTAGATGATATAGCTTGGCACTTCCTAAACACAAAATTCTTGAAACAGACAACATTTTCAACAATCATAATCAACATATACAATTTCCAGTTGAGGAAGAGGTAGATAATTCTCTACCATTCCTTGACATGAAAATTGTAAGAAATACAGACAATATGTTGAAAACCAGATGGTTCAGAAAACCCATATGTAGTAATAGATTTATAAGCTATTACTCTCATCATCCAAATAAGATGAAAATGAACCTTATAACAGGGTTAAAGGAACGTGTTTTAAAACTTTCTCATCCAGACTATCTACAAGAAGATCTTCATTTGTTAAAAAATATTTTAATTGAAAACTCTTATCCTCCAGATATGCTACATATGATGCTTTTTTCTAATTTATTAAATATAAATAACTTAACACCATTTTTTTTCCTAAATCTCAAAACACTGTATCCAACAATCAGAACATATATTATCATTCACTACCTTTTATGCCATCATTAACTCCTAAATTAATACAAACACTAAAGGTTATTGACAATATAAAAATAGCAACAAAGAACATCAAAACCATATTATCTTTATATTCCAAAACTAAATATCCTATAGACAAATTAGATCAAACAAATGTAGTGTACAGCATTGGTTGTACTCAGTGTGAAGCTGAGTATGTTGGTGAGACTAGAAGAAATCTTTCAAATCGCATTATTTCTCACAAAAGTGATTGCAGAATTAAGAAACCATCTTGTGCTTTGGCAGAGCATGTCATAGACAAAGACCATATTATGGATTTTGATAATATTAAAATTTTATGTAGTGAAAGTAATAAATTTAAAAGAACTTTTTTGGAAATGGTTTGTATTAGCAAAAGTGATACTTTAAACAAAAGGTCAGAAATTCAAAATCTAAGCAAAATTTATAATTATATTATTTCTATGTAGTCTATATATGTAATCAGTAAAATATCACATTTTGAATTTTCCATGTATTTGTTATATTTTTTAAATCTTCTTCTTTTTTGTTACGAAACAAAAAAAAATTTTTTAAACAAAATTTTATTTTTGACAATATGTCAAAAATAAAAATTTTTAAGTTGGCATTTGAGGCTGATTTGTAGCTATTCATTATATGTATATATATATATATATATATATATATAATATATATATATATATATATATATATATATATATATATATATATATATAGTGTAGGTAAAAGTTTATGGTCGTTATGGTAAAATTTAACAGGATATCTAACAAAGATCTAAAATCATATTTTCAGCGAATAGACAAAGATAATAATCATATTTCCCCTTGGTCTCCCCTCTACATTTGTCACAGACACCCACTAGTGAGACAATTATTTCCGATCAGAGATATTTTACATATCTGTGGTTCCGATTCAGCTGATGTCTAAGAAATTAGAGGTGGGTCGTTGACATTTTTATCGGAACCGTTTTTCGTAAACAAGTAACTAGTTGATTGTTTACCAGTAGTTTCAAATAAGCGAGTACATGAACAAACATCTTGGCTATTATCTTTTATGTGTGTATGTATTGAAGTAAAATAAACTAACGAAGAATATATTTATTATAACTTGAAAAATAAATTAAACAATACAAATAGTAAATAGTACTTACATTTACATTACATATTATTATTAAATCGCGAATCGTCTAAATTGACATTTAAAATTTTAAAAACATAAGTTTCTTTTTCTTGTACTGGTTGATTTTAAATAGTACAATCTTCTTTGTCTTTTTTTTAAGTAGTAACCAGCTTTTCAACTCTTGAAGGTAAAAAAACAAAAGATTGTTTTTTTACCTTCATTTTTATCAGAAAATCCCTGCATTTTAAATTATTATTTGTCATTTACGAATCTATGGTTTCTTACTGGTAAGCCAAAATGATTAATTCAAAGAAACTACGTTTTGTGTAGACGTAAACACAACAGCAACGAACACTTTACGTCGACGAGGACGATTAGTTGATCTGAGAGACTACTACCACCTACCAAACAAAAAATAACATGCGACTCTTTCGGGACAATGGACAGTCGGGCTATTGCTTGACGTTGAAAATAAAATAACTAGGTATTTATTATTGCCTGGTATAAGAATAATAATTTTATTTTAAAAAAATG